CTACCCCAATACCTACGGTATCTATCCGGGAATAGCCCTTTCTACCCCAATACCTACGGTAGCTATCCCGGAATGAATAGGTATAATCCCACAAAGCTCTAGGTACTTGGGGCTGCAGGTAGCGCTTAGGTCACTCCAAGGCAGGTGGTTCACGCCCTTGCTCTGCTAAGTCAAGGAATGCCGCCCAAAGGATCTCGTGGGAAATTCAATTAAACTCTGAACGTTTGACCCAACTTGGCATCTCTTAAAGGCATCCCCCCTATAACCCATAATAAGGATACCCCGAAATCTCCTTATAATCTCTGTACATCCCCAGAGCTTGAGAAATTCGCAATTGAATACACATGGTCACATGGACCTTTGGTGTCGAGTGGCTGGTGGCAGGCTCAGGAGATAGTCTACTGTTCCCTTGAACTCAGATCCCCCAACCTGCTGGCAAGTGCAACTTGGCACGTCGCTTTTGTTCCGAAGCGCTTTGCAACAGAAACTGTGCATGCCGGCGTGGTCCGCTTTTCAACCGAGTGTAGGAGGGGAAAAGTCATGGGCCCCTTTGACATTCAGAGCCCAAAGAAAGCACAAACCAACCCGGCTGAAAGATGGCTAGCATCAAGCTTTGATTGGTTCATGTTGATCCGGAGCCTGAAATGTTGGCATGCTCCCAGCTTTGTGTGTCTTTGGGGCGAAGCTCTTATCAGCAACCTTAGCTGACTGCCCAGGATTCACCAACGACAATGCGCATCAGTCAGATGAGTGGCCGATGGCCACCGTGAAAAAACACCTATATGCAGCCCCTTAATGTGCCTACAGAAACCCAAAGAACAGCCCCTGACTCTGTTGCACAACAGTGTCAGAACCGAAAAGCAGTGCAGCGCTGCCAAAACTATTGATCGGGGCAGGGAATACCTTGTGCTTGTCATGGTTGGTGAATCCGCTGTTGGCACGGTACATTGGCAGGGCTTTGCAGCCACTTGCAGGATTGGGAAGCCAAAGCCAGAGACATTCGGGTTTCTTGACCTCACGGGTCCCTGCGTGCTCGTTTTTCGGGAAGGGATACGAGGCAGGGCGGTAAACGCCTCCATGCTTTATGTTCGGCTGGTCTTCAAAACATGAGCGATGAGCGGTGTGAGCAGTCTACTCACTGTCTTGTCTGGCTTGCCGCCCTTACCGAGCTACTCCAAGCTAAAAAAGCTCGGTGCTCTGTCTGTCAGCAGCGGTGCTCGCTGCTGCGCAGCTGAGACAGAATCATGCACATCTTCCCTGTGATATGGCTTCTACTTCATAGGCCCTCAATCGAAAGGGATCTGAAAGCTAAAGCCTGAATACTTCCCAAAGTTTAAATAGCCCCTCCAACAACATTCGTAACTTGTTAATGCTTGAGATACTTCATGTTCGCCAAGACTAGAGCCTCTGCTCACAAACTACAGAGAAGGCATTGATGACCGTATCTCGGGATCGTCATAGCGGGACCGGCCTTAGTGCGCAACCCAAGAAGGTTGCAGCAAGGTGTTCCTTGCATACCGTGCTTAATACATTCAAGAACCTGGGTTGGCCTCTAAAACCCTTTGAAAACTATTAGTATATAGGGTCCCTTATTAAAGCCATTAGGGAAAATATTAAATATCCCAGGGGCCTACCCAGAGAACGCAGACATATCTGGCAGAATTGGTAAGTAGCTGCGCAAACATGAGCTTGAGACGCTCGCAAGCCCGACCCCAAAATGACATGGACGTCTCTCAAAATCATCCCCCCCCCCACATATGAACCATAGTCTAAACTTCTAGTCTCCCCCTTAATAATCCCTGTACCCCTATATTCCCTTTATAACCCCCTTTAAGGAGTTTTGACTACAGCTCATCTCCCAACCTGAGCATTGTCAGGGTCCCGGATGCCCCCCCCCAAAGGAGATGCACCCTCAACTTTTTGGGTAGTTCCCAAAATTCCGGGCCCCTCCTGGCTACAGATTTTATTACGGCACCTAATATTCAGGGTACCAAAATGGGACTCTAAGTTTAGGCCCTACCCCTATGAAAAACCCTAAGCCCTAAGCCCTAAACCCGATATGAACCCTGAACCCTGAACCCTAAACCCTATATGAATCCTAAACCCTAAACCCTATATGAACCCTAAACCCTATACGAAACCTAAACCCTAAACCCTGTATGAACTCTATTGTAACCGTGAAACCTAACGTGACAGGGGGCTTGCCATTCGTCGAGTTCAGGCCGATAGAACTCCGTTGAGGACAGGACGCTCCCGTTCTGGCCGCCGCTTACCTGGTTTTTTCTCAAAAAGGGGGTACCCTAGGGACCCCAGGGGATATATAGGGATTACAGAGGGAGTATGGGGGTCCTTATTAGGGAATATATAGGGATAACATTGAGAAATACCCACCTGGGTTTTCTCGAAAAGGAGGTCTCCACTTGGAGTTTGGGAGGTGATGCTGGGGGAAGTGGGTTTAGGGATGTTGGTGGTACCATAGTGAGAGGAGCAGGAGGCGGAGTAGCAACAGCTGCAGTAGAAGCAGGGGGTATGTCAATACTGGACTAGAAGTATCAGCGTGTGTCCTAGTAGCAAAGCGTGGACGTGTTGAGGGTTTAGGCTTTTATCATGCGGTCCTGAGATTCGTCCAGTTCTTCGCAAGGTATATACATACATTGGAGAGTTTTGCCTGCATCCAAGAAGTACAGCACTATGTAGCACCTGAATACATGTTTGATGCAGGTCGCTTTCAGCCAAACTCCACGACACTGCGGTCTCATTGGCACTGGAAAGCATCCCAGGGAGGAATCGAATCACCATGATTTTCTTGTCTAAATAGAACTGAACGAAACCCAATGATGAACCAACATCCACTGAAGTGATTATTACTGGGCGTTGGGTGGTGTGTAAATTTAGCCTGCAAGTACCCTGAACCTCCGGGTATGGACCCAGGGTCATATGAGAGGTTCCGAGACTTAGGAAACGTGTTTGCAGCTTGCGGAACTTTCAAAAGTTATGCAATGGCCGCATAGGGCTGTATGGGGTTGATGCAGGGGTTACATAAGGATATACGGGGTATAGGGGTTGTAGCGGCCCGGAAATCCTTGACTTGCGAAATCCTCACCGCGATTTCTCTCACTTTGAAAAGGAGTCCTTCAAATAAGTGAAGGTGGGGCCCTAAAAGCGGACCCCAACCATGGCAACGTGAAACCCATAGATACCCGATTTGTATCAGCCTATTAGCCCCAAGTACATCGTCTTAGCTAAGCTCCCCAAACACTTGGGTCCAACTCAGGGGTTCAACCCCAAATTGCGTAAGTCTCGCTTTTGCTGGCAGGTGGTTTATGTGGACCCCCGACCCTGTACGTGGTAAAGAAGGACTATAAGAAGGCCCCAAAGTGTACTCACCTTTACACCCTGAACCCTCAACCCTAGATCCTATAGTCCCCCTTAAGTAGATGCAACATGGCTTTAACGCCCCATATTCTATCTATATAAGGGGGATTACAAACCGCTAGCCCAAATACTGACCATTACTGGTTGTTGGGTCCACCTAGCAGATGGTTTAGGAGTCTGAGGACTCCGCTTTGGGATTGTGTTGGAGCTTTCAGTGGTGGGGTATAGGGTTTTAGGGGTTTGGGGTTAAGGGTGTAGGGGTCCCCAGAGAGCGAGAGAGAGAGAGAGAGAGAGAGAGATATATATATATATATACACACATAATATGCATATAAAAAAATATATATACAACACCCAATTACTGCAATCCTCGTTCTAGGTCCCACAGAAGGGGTTGGGAAACCTCCTGCAAACGGACATAGGGCTGTCTTGTGAATCACCTCAATGACGGGCTGCCATGATAGAATCGGAGATCACAGCAGCAGCGAAATCCATGCGGGACTCCTGACAGGATATCCCTTAAGCCTTAACCCTTACCCCTAAACCCGTCCGTTAGGTGCAAAGGGCTGTAAGGTTTCCGGTGTAACGCAGGGCAAGACGTCTGCATAGTCTACTGAACGCTGGCTGCGACCCCAATTGCTTACAGCCTGGTAGCCACTACCCCTAATCAACTTGCTGTCTAGAACCCAATAACTGTAGGTAATTGGGGTAACAAGCACATCATCGGCCGTGGAAGCTCTTGGCTTCCTACACCAGGACATGGTCAACCTGAACCCAGCGGTTTAAGGTGTAAGGCATATTCCTTGGGTCTTGCCCCCACCAACTTACTGTCTATATTCGGGGTCACATTCAGGGCTACATGAGCGGCTATATACAACTATACTATACCTATTATCCAACTGTTCATGACCGGGTGCGGTAGCCAACTTATTCCTTCTATGCAGTCTCCAGAAGAACCGAGCCACAAAACCTTACAGTCGGACGAATTGTCTGTCCCAAAGGACCCGTAATACGATTACAATGAATGTTGCTCACAAAGCCTAATAACGTTCATGCTGAAAAGCGCATGAAGAAGTGAACGTGCATGATCATGCGCCTTCCAATACGCAATGAAGAACAGAAATCTCATGAGGGCAGAAGCTGCCCTCAAGCGGATTGCCCCAGGGTCTGCGTAAAGCAAAGTTCTACATCCCCAGCACAAAAGAACTTACTGAGCGAGCAAGAGCAAATCTTTGAGCGTGATAGTCGGAGCCGAGCCTTTTACATTTCTTGCCCCAACACACCAAAAGGTCCGTGTACCTGTTCAGAGGAAAACACCCAGTGCAACCTCAACCAAATCAAAAGCCCTTCGTACTTGCCCTTGTTCTGTCATATGGTAGGCTGTCAAAATTTTGGTCCCTTTTTAGGTACCCTACACATTCGGGGCTATCTCGTAATGCCCTAATTGCGACCCCAGGGAGGACCACAACTTCGACAATCCGCCATAACTCTCCGAACCCCTAAAGCCTGGAAAATGCTAACGCAGTTGTCTTTGATCTGACACGGCACACAAAATTTCGAGATCTTCCTAGCAAGGGTTGTGCAGTTGAGGGTTCTGTTTCCGGTAAACCCCAAAGTGTTGCAGCCTGCATGGGTGCCCGGAGGCTGAATCGGTTCTCATCCGGGTCCAAGCATTCGGCTGAGAAGTGGATCCTGCTTGCTTTCTGGTCGAGGTCTAGGCTGTTTAGTGTTTCGGGTCTACGAAGCCATTTCAATGCTCATGAAAATTGTCAAGCTGATGGTCCCGTAACCCCATACAGAACACCTTCGGCGGGCTTGAGGAATTGGAGTTGTGGCACAGAATTTTCCTAGACCGTTGGGAAGATTTGATAAGTAGAGCCCCGAATCTAGTATCTTGTACAACCAAAGATCTACTTTCTAGATCCTTTTCCTCTCTGGAAGTTATCATCATTGAGACCCGGCATGTTTCGGCATAGGTTAAGCGATACCTGTTGGAGCTCTGCTGCAGTCTTGCAGGTAGAGACACCCTGGCGCTAATCTCTGAGGCTGGTTCGCTTGCGGATTAGGATTATTCACATGGGAGGACCAGGATGATTCACATGGGAGTTTCTCAAAATGTGCCCGCGCTCTCTCTCTTCTTCTTCTTCTCACCGCTCTACCCCCCCCGAAGAGAGGGGCTGGCTCTCTCTCTCTCTCTCTCGCTCTCTCTCCCCCTCTCTACATATACACGTGTGTAGCTGATAATAAGGACCCCAGCAATCCTTTTATACTCTCAGTAGACCCCGAGTGACAAATCCCCCCATGCAAAACAGCCATGGACTTTGCCTGCTTTCATTCACCTCTCCCCAGTCCTCTGATCTTCATCAGTGCCACCCAGTGCGAAAACGTGGTGGACGCAATTTGCAGCCTGCAAGTCAGGTGCCGCTTCCTGTCTGTGCATGACTTCGAAACTTGTTCTGATGAGTGGCCAGGCGCTTTAGACCTTGCGCAGTCTTTGAGGCTAAAGGGAGTCAAATCTGGATTTGTAGGTATTTCTCAAGCTCTTTAACCAACGGGATCCTCCTAACATACACGCAACAGAATAGACAGGCTAGGGCTCCCTTTGAGGACCCCAAAAGAGAGGCAGAAATTGTGAGCAGCCTTGTCAAAGAACAGCTCCCAAGTCATGCAACGAGCTGGCACAAGCAATCCTGCCTGACCTCAATAATTCAATAAGGCCGAAGACTTACTTACTGCTTCTCAGGAAAGAAGGGAATATAACCCCCATATTTCCCCTTGGTAACTTATGCCCATGTTCCCTACTAGAACCAATAATTAAGAAGAATCCTGTTGCTTGAGTGGCCCAGGTATACCTGGCCTGGCCCGCGGAACGTACCTCCACCATCTCGCTCTTCAGAGCCTCCCAGAAAGCCCAAAACCCTTAATTAGGGAATATATCCTGCGTTTAGGGTTTGGGGCCGAATATCCCTTGATTGGGGAATGTACACAAAATCATATTAGGGATCCTCGTATAATTGGGGGTATATTTCCTAGACCCTAAACCTGGGGTATATTCCCTAATTAAGGGATATTGGGCTATTCAGAGCCTCTGAAATCGGGGGCTGTGGTCGCACGAATGCAGAGCTTACGTTAGGGGGATAGTAGCCTTGAAGACGGATATAGGGGAGTAGTAGGGACCATATAGGGTTTACTTCGGTTTCAGGCAAGAGTTTGGTTAAGGGTTTAGGGTTGATGTAGGGGCCGAAAACCTTAAAAACGAGCACTGTGGTCCAGTAGACTATTTCTTTGAAGGATTCTTGGGAACATTGTTGATAATTAATTCTCTAGGCTGCTACATCAATTACCATGAAACGAGGCAAGCCTGAAAGATTCCAAAGCCTGAGTTGAAGGAGCCCATTCTTGCACATGTCTACCACCTGCGGTGCAGCGGTGCCTGGGACTCACTTCTGTATTTTTACACAAATAGACACGATCACTCCTGCCGGGCAGTCATATGACTGTAGCATTCTGCTGCTTTTTGAACTTGGACAACAAAGATTCCAACCGCACCAGTCTGACATTCTTATTTTCTGCTGAAGTCTTTGGGCCTTTTTTCAATAATATATCCCTGTTTTGTCCCTGAGGCTATAAGGAAGATGCCCACAGGGTATCCCTGTTTCGAGAGGCCCGATCATCAAGACTCTTGCTGTCGTCTTGAGAACGCAGCACAGAGCTCTGTATCACATGGGGGATTCTTAGGATGGGTACTCTTAACTACAAAGGGACTAGGGACGTGTGTGCTAGGTATTCTAGGTGTAGGATTCATTGTACGAAGCTTTCGCAAGGAAGTAGTTGCCAAGTAAAGTAGTTTCCAAAACTGACAGTGCCACAAAGGCGTGCGCAAAATGCTAGGCAGTCCTGGAGGCCTTGCTTTGGGGAAGAATGTGAATTCTTACGCTTCATTGCTTTTTAGTCGCACCCCGCTTTGTGCTTAGGTTTGAGGGTTTTTGGTTTTGTTAGTTGTAGCACCGATGGCAGGCCTCCCAGCGATTTGCTCGAGGGTCAAAGACATCGACAGTGTTGAGCCTGGCGTGAAATGCAATCGAGTTTTGGGCAAGAGCAGCGGACAAAGATCACTGCTGGGCACTAGCTACGATTCTCTCCTCAAACGACTGTTGATGTACCGGGGCCCAAACCTACAGCAAACACTATTCCAGTCGACGCTGATGCTGAGCGTTGGCAGCCTGCAACGCTATGACAACAACTGGACTAATCTAACACCTCCCACACAAGAAGAATGCAGGCTGCCTGGTGTTTGTGTGCGCAAGTCATGAGGAGTGCACTGTAGCATGGAGGAGCTCTCTGCCCTACGCCTTAAGAAGATGTAGGCTGACTGACACCCTCCGCTCTCAAGTCCCACATTGAAAGGCCAGCAGGTCTGCAGTCTGCTAAATTAGGTCTAATTCCTTGCCTTGTCCCGGATGTGCCGCCCAGCACCCACACTTTCCCGCCACTGGTAGTGGCCATAGCTGACGAGCGAGGTGTAGGCAGAGGTTCCTGAGCGCGCAATGCGAAGGATAATGGTCAGACCTATGAAGATACAGATTAATTCGGGTCTAGGGGGTAGAGGGCGTGGTTTGAATTATGGCCTATCATCATCGTTGTCATGGTTGTTCTGGTGATTCTCAAGCTAGTGGGGATGAATGCTGCGCTCACCTAACATCTGCCCAACACATAATAATGAGGACCAAGCGTTCCCAGGATTTCCTGACAACAGGGCAAGGCAAAGAGGGAAGGCAAAACAATGATCTGACCGGAAGTTGAATGCATCCGCAGAAGGAACTTGAGTAGGGCTAAATTAGGTTATTGAGGGTTATTTAGGGATTCCATAGGGCCTATATAGGGATGATGGAAAAGAACATGGAAACTACTTTTGCCGGTGCTTGTTCTTATTACACTCGTACGGAGTGTGATGCACGTGGCCTCTCTTGCTCAGCCCTCAATGCCCTCGGCAATCCGAATGGTCAGCTTCAGAAAACTCTCGAGGTGGCAGTTGCCCCTAAATAGGGGGACCTCAGCATAGACCTCCAAATACTATAGTACTGATTACAAGGACCCTCAAAAGCACCTCTAATTTAGGCAACGCGACCCGACTGACGCCCCGATAGCATATACGATGTATTCCATCGTGTTTGGGGTTTAGGGCTTTTAGGGTTTAGGGGTTTTTAGGGCTTAGTGGTTTTTAGGGTTTAGGGTTTTTGGGGTTTAGGGTTTTGAGAAACCACTCCTGGCCCTAAATCCTACCTCCCAAACAATACAGTCTCCCTTAAGTAGATAGAGTATGGGGTATATGGGGATCTTATTATAATATACCAAAAGCCATATTCTATCTACTTGAGAGGTACTATAAGCTCTGAACCCTGTGAGCTTCCGGACATTAAGCGCCCCTCTCCCTAAACCCTGAACCCTAGACTGTAAACTGTTATGCCCAGGCTCCATCTGCATCCAACTCTTCAGTCGACTGTCGTAGGCCTCTCATACCACAAGATCAAGGGCAACCACATGGGGCTTCCTCCGTGTGAACAGCATATCTGTGGGATATGGAATATGCAGGGGTCGTGTAGGCTTGTAATTTGCAAGTCAAATGGAAAACCAAATGGACAATGGCATGGAAACTGTGTTTTTGTTTCAAACATGTGTAGGGCTTAGGGTGTATGCACAGAAGGAATGGAAAATCACGGAAACCACCGCATTTTGGGCCAAAATAATTCAGGATCCATTCCTCATTCCCAGCTACCCTGACCACTTACCCTGTAAACCTAAACTGAGTGAGCCCGGGGCCGTCGAGCAGGGCGAACGCGCCGAAGCCGGCAGGCGAGGCAGTTCTGGAGCCCAAAGCCGTCCAGGCCAGAGCTCCCAGTCCCACAGGCAGTTGTGCAGGCCCGGCAGACCGTTGGCGAGTAACCTGTCAGGTCGCCCTTAGAGTGCCTCCAGGGCCTCCCAGGCCCTTTCAGAGCCTCCCAAGCCTTTCCCACACCTCCTAAAACTTGCTTCAGGCACCCCCATCTCATCAGGACATCCGGCCCTGCTTCTCAGCTTCCAGGCCTAAACACAAGCTCCGAAGGAAGCTAAGCCACCCCGAAACCCAAACTGGCACCCGTCTGGTCTGGACAAGTCCAGCTTTGGACAAGTCCAGCTTCAGACCCAAATCCAGACTGGAATCATCCAGGCACCACCTGAAAAAAACTAGAGCCTCGAGCCACTCCCAAACCCAAACTGGCACCGTCTGGTCTGGACAGGTCCAGCTTCCAGAAATAAATCAGGCAGCCTCGAGCCGGACCCAGCCCAGAGATTGCATCCAGGGCACCCTGAAAACTAGAGGCCTCGAGCCACCCCCAAACCCAAACTGGCACCGGTCTAGTCTGG